CCAAAACCCCAAAACCCCAAAACCCCAAAACCCCTTGATTGTGATTTAATGAATAAAAGTATGAATTTTGAAATTATAATTAGATGAAATGAATTCAGTTATATTATTAAAATGATAAACAAAGGAATTGTTAAGAATGATGCTTCTCCATTCAAGTGGCCATCTTATGGATAGTAAACTAGAATTACTTTATCAAATATAGAGAGGGGAGAGAGGCTAAAAGAGGTGGAACAGCCCCTGGAGAGTAGCGAGTCAAGCAAACATAGAATGGTAATACGGGAGGTCAAGCATCGACAGGTTATGACCTGTCAAAAATCTATGCAGTAAACCCAAGAATTCAGAAAATAAATATTGCTTCTCCAAATATCAAGAATATTTAAAATCCAGCACTTCAGAGTGACAATTAGAATGTATTTGCTAATCACTAATCAACATAGAATGGAGTCATGAAAACCAGAATGAAGTTTTCCTAGCCTTTCACGATGAATAGAAACGAACCAATAAAGTATAAATTATCATACTAATATTTATTTAGAGCAATACCGAATTACATTTAGGTAGAAGATGATATGGACATATTAGGGATGACAAGTGGAAGTTAAGGAAACCCATTTACAAACTCTATCAACAGGAAAAGTTAAGTAAAAGGTAAAATCCTAGAAACTATGATTATAGGTGACTCAGAAAACGCTTAGAGTATAAGAGCAGATAAGAATGATAATGTATCAGAAATACTTCAAATTAATCAATTCTTTAGAACCTAGTTCATGGATAAGATAAAATGAAGTTCTTTACTGGAGGTGCAAACAGCAGGAAAATCCTGAGGTATTATAACTTATAATGAAGAATTTGATAGTGATCAAGCAAACAATGATGAAATTCAAGCTAGCTCCAAAAAGAGAGTTCCATCTAACAAAGGCAGATATATCCAGTCAAATGGCTATAGACCTGGAACTTCAGGGTAATCAATGGGAAACGAGGATGACCTTCCTTTAGGAATGGTTTCTCCTTATAATCCTCCATCAAATCCAAATATGAATCCTAATTCAAATGGAGGGCTAATAATCAGAAAAAGATCAGGAACCTCGCATGCTTAAAAATCCTCACTAAATAAAAATAATGCTCAGGGTCAATATAATGAAGATTATGCTGGAGCTCATCAGGACAATGGTCCATAAATACCGAAAGTTAAAGGAAAGTTATCCAATCTATAAGGAGCAATAGAGACACTGAAGAGTGATAATGCACCAGGAATGGGTTAGTTTGGACCAGATTTCTATCAATTTAATTAATGGGAGAGGCCTCCTAGCAGATAAAAAGAGCCAAATATGGCATAGCATTTAGATGATATGGACTTTGATGAAAGGCCTAATCATTTTAATTATCCAATAACCTAAGGAAGCAGACCAAAGATTGATTTTTTCAACTAAAGGCATAACTAGGGCAACCCAGGATTATCAGATTATTAAATGTAATATGCAGCGATGGGAGCTTATAGACCCCCGTCTAGACATAAAGATCCCCCTTAAAACTTAGGATTAGATCTCCCTTTAGAGGATGTTCCTTATCTTGACGAAGATTCAGAGGATTCATTTGGGTTTGAGATAGGTATTGATAATGCCAACTAATAAAAGATTAAAGGCAAAAGGTTTTAAGATGACTCAGATGATTCATATGATAGGAGAAGCAATGAAGAGGATTTGAATTAAAAAGATTATCTGAACTCCTCAGGAAAAAGAAAACCATAAACTGCTTCAGGTGCTAAAAATAATTCAGCGCAGAAAAGGAATATTATGGCAGCTAGTAACGCTTAAAATTAATTTGTTCATCAAGAAATTCAAGGTATTCCGTAAAATAAGATGAGGACAATTAATAAGCCTAAATCAGCAACAGGCCATAGAATAAATTACAACAGATTTAAAAGTTTACACAATAGCGGTAGATTCGTGAATACACCTGCTTAGAATGGAAATCCACAGATATTTTCAGCCTATCAGGTTAATTAAATGTATCCTTAGGGATAATAAAAAGGCTTTAACCCTGTTAGAGCTTGGGGAGATAACTCTCTACAATCAGGCATTCAGAATGGCTCAAGAATAGGAAAGCAAAAAGGCTAGACACCATTTGGTGGATAGCTCAATCACCAGTAAAATTGCTTCTTTAACAAAATTTATAGAATGATGGGTCAATTTGAAAATGAAAATTCTTCATAACTGATGTAAGAAGGCAGGAGAGGCAAATTTCAGAAGGCAGGACCAACTCAGATAATTAAAAATAATCAGAAATTCCAAGAAAATAACGCTAACAACTAGTTCTATATCACATCTCCTTTAAATAAATCTAAGCAAGAAGTTTTTTCGTAGACTGGCAAAATTAACTTACAAGGGGAGAGCAGCAGTTCAATGGTCGAAGAAAATACGTAATAACTTTTCCAAATAACACTATCTTTAGAAAGCTCGGATAATCTTTCAAGTCACAGACATTGTAATTCTAAACATAATTAGGAGTAGATTTTATAAATCTGTTTGCAAAGGAATGATTATTGCTATAATATTTTAGAGATGTTTTATATATTGATTTATCTTACTCTGTACATTTAAAATTAAATCAATAGTAATCTTTTCACACTATAAGGATTGTTCTAATGACTCTTGGGGTTTTGGGGTTTTGGGGTTTTGGGGTTTTGGGG